GCACACGTTCATCGTATCTTTTTCTTGCAAAATTTTTTGCACTAAACAAAGAATATACAAGGTGGGTAAAAAGTGAATGTAGACACCAAGTTCCTTTTTTTCAATGGAATACATTTTTTTTTTAATCCATTTTCGAATTCTGTGTCAAATTTCACGCATAATTCATTTAGTATATATAACCAATACATATTTCTTACTTTTTATGAGCAAAAAAAAACAAGAAAAAAAAAATTTAAATGAACAGGTTGTAGCTAATTCTTATTATCTCCACAGTGAATAAAATGAGCGAAAATCTACATATAATCTAGGGAATATAAAAGGTTGTCCAAAAACTAATGGGAACACAAGTTTAAACATTTTCTTAGAAGTTCAGCCTAATCCCCATCTTCTGACGTAATAATGAGGTTAGAAAACGGATAGCTTTGCATGTATTAAAAGAAGAAAAGTATCGCCCGTACGAGATTAACATTACTACAGGAGCTAAACAAAAAATAAATGTTTGGAAAACAAAATTATTTCTTCGATCAAAATCTTACTGGAGCCCGATATTTACAATTTCTTCAAAATGACTTAATTCCTACTGTCGCAGTTTCTGATCTGCCAGATAGACAGATTTGGTTTCAAAAGGCTATTACTCCGCCTCAGTTTATTAGACAAATCCGTGAGTATTTAAATACGGAATTGCCGGGACAGTAGATTGGAAGAAGGCGATCAATAGACGGTTATTAATCATTTATTTGCGAGAGCCGATAGATTCAAGAAATAACAAAAGCAGGACCTCCACTGACTTTTTCCTTTGGGGATATTTTAAATCAATAGTTCATAAGGAAAAAGCCCAAAATTTAGATGATCTAAAATTTAGAATTAGATAGGTACGAAATAAGGCAAATGTAATGTTTTGGAAGGATTTTTAAACCGATTAGTATGTTGTCAAGAAGTTAAAGAAGGATATTTTCAACACTTAATAAAATAATGTCTTTGACATGTTTTTTATTCTTTTGCTCATAAAAAGTGGAATTTGACGCAGAATTCGAAAATGGATTTAAAAAAATAGTGTTGTATTTAAAAAACAACAAAATAAATTTGTTCCATATTCTAGCCGTACACTGTATATTTGTGATATAGGTGCAACGAATAAATTTGAAATGCGATAATGGTATCAGGTGCATTTAGTGCGTATTGCCCCAGTGAAAATCACACTAGAAATAAACACATTGTCGGTTGATATTAAAATTGGTATGTACTATATGAACATTTATTTACCAAAATCGCGCCAACTTTCTGTAAAAGTCAGCGAAGAAAATATTAGTGGATTTTTCAATATCGTTCAGAAGACATAAGATATAAAAACCAGCACACACCCCTTCAACAGCTGCTGATGATTTAAAATTCTACCCGCTTAAAAAATTAATTCATAACAATGTAACTCGTCGCATTAAAAATTATATTTTAGGTTTCTTAGAACAGTTATCGCATTCGCTGCACTTGAAGATAGAGGCGTCACGAACATGAGAAACAAATTTCACTCGGTGTATTTGTTTTAAAAATTGATAACGCGTCTAAACAAGCAAATGAAATATGTTTTCCAAAACGTGTTCGTTTCATATCAGAGAAAACAATATTAACATAATTTCAGCAGTGCAAATACCACGTCACTCTTATATAAACGGGTAGCTGTAGTAAAATCCTAAAGACAACAAACGATGTATTTTTGTGCTAGGAAATGTGTGTACTTTTGTCCGTCGTTGGTTCAAAGTCAGACAAGCTTTCTTTTGTGCTCGTATAAAAATAACCAATGTTAAACTGTTGTTCTATGTTTATGTTAATGTTATGTCCGTCATCTGAATATGGGGATAGCATTCTGACTTTTTTTCTGATATGTGGAATATTTCGTGTCGACTACTACTTAGGACATTCATGATTTTAGTGTATGCATAAAGCAGGGTGCCCAATTTACTACCAGTTATAGTAATCCGTAATCAAATACACTGGCACGACACAAACATTGAGCAATTAAAATTGATGTTGCTGGTTGTTTCATGATCAGAATATACAAAACGAATTGCAGCCAACTATACATAAAACAAGGGTTTTTTTTAAAGAGTCATTCTTTTGGTTTCTGATATTCGCTTTTGATTACATTATGCCCCAGGTGATGAAAATTCTAAAAGTAGCTCTATTGTGCATCTACATAATATGTACTCTAGTGGCATTTCTTAACATTGGGTACCTGCAACTTTACTTTACTAACGCAATACAATTAGAACTCGATCAACAACGCATTGAAAATTGCATCAGCTGATTGCACTGTCTAAAAGTTGCACTACTTTCTTTCCAAACATTTAACGGTCATGTCAAAACTTTCTGTATAATCAGCATAAAAATGGTATCTATATATCTAAAAGCTATATGGTAATATTCCTTAAATTCTAACAGTTTTACTTTAAACATAAAAGTCTGCTCTGGTGTGTTTTGCTTGATTATTCAACAATCTGCTTAGTCTTAGAGAGTTGGTGATTATTTAAGTAGTGCTTTAATAAAAAGGTCTGTATAGCATATTTCTACTGTTGACTTTTAAATGCATTGTCAATCACTTGATTAAACCCCAATGTGTAGATATGCATTTACTAAATATCTAGCTATTGGGTGTTTGAAAAAACGTTGCGGTAAGTTCCACGGTAAATAAAATATTAGTTTAGTTAATAAACATGTGTTCGAAAAATCCTTCTTCAGAAGGTTCTGTGAAAGCGGGCCCAAAAATCGTTTTTTTTTCATTGTTGCTAACACGATTTAAGATTTAAATTTAGACCACTAATACTGTGGATTGTGTCGTAAATGTTGCCCTGTATAGGTAAGGATAACAATTAGAATTTTATTATAGACAGAATGTTAACGTGGTGAACCATGAATGCATGGGCACTATCCTATCTTTTTTTATATACGAGGTGAGCGTGAAAAGTTCCCGGCTTGACATAGATGCAGCTCCAGTATCACGATAAAACTTTGTCTTCTTTTAAATATATATCTTAGTAGGCTGCGAAAAAAAATTGAAGCATTGCATCAAATAGTTTTTTATTGACAAATAACGCAAATTGAGCATAGAGCAGCCATAAAGTTTTTGATAAAAGAAGGGTTGGATGGTGTGTTGTGTTTTCGAATGGGCAGGAGTCCCTTGAAGATAATTCAAGAACTGGTCGATCAGTGGAGGTCATAACGGAAGATATTGTTGCGATTGTGGAAGAAGTGGTATTGACTGATCGACGTTTAAAAGTCAAGGAAATCTCAGAAATTAATTAGCTTTCTGATACAAGTGTTCGTCGAATCCTGCATGATCATTTAGGTATGCATAAGGATAGTGCAAGATGGGTTCCTAAAAACCTTTCGGCTATTCAAAAACAACGCCGTGCGGTCTTTTTTGGAACTCTGTGGGTCGGAACCGAAGCCTGTGATAGAAACTATTGAGAAGGGAGATGAAACTATGGTTCTCTATTATGACCCTCTATCGAAAAAAAATCAATGGAGTGGTGTCGTAAGGGTGAAGCACCTCGAAGAAAATTCAGAGTCTGCCAGTCAACAAAAAAGGTGATGGCCACGATCTTTTGGGATTGTGAAGGAATTCTTTTGATAGATTTTAAAGAAACTAATGGTCAATGGTAAATATTACTCAACATTGTTACATAAATTGCGAGACTGCATACATGTAAAACGTCTAGGAAAACTTACCAGAGGCGTGCGTCTTTTGCACGATAATGCACCTGTCCATATTGCTGGTGTTGCACAAGCTGCCATTTTAGAGTGTGAGTTCCAACAGATAGATCATCCTCCCTATAGTCCAGATATGGCCCCCAGCGACTATTATTTGAAAAAGGACTTACGTGGACGGCTGTTTATCGACGAAGTTGAGTTAAAAGAGGGTGTTTTAGCTCATTTTGCAGACAAACCAAAAGAAATTTTTTTTAAAGGGATTGAGTTGTTAATATAGAGATGTAATAAGTGTATTGAAGTTAAGAGGGATTATATTGAAAAATAATAAAAAATGGTTACTCTACTTTGTTTCTTTCATATTCAGGCCGGGAAATTTTGGCGCTGCCCTCGTATTTTACATACATACTGTTCTGTTATGTTTTTGTAATGTTCATCATCCAAAATTCCCCAATAGACATAAATATAAATAGAGAGACCAATGCATAAATCTGCACATCTCAGTACAGGGTCTAACTGATTAGCAGCACTTTATTACCCAAATAAAACATCACGATTCACACAACAATTATTGAATAATGAAATTAATGAAATGAAATTTAATTAGCGATTGCATTAACCGTTAAAGTAATAGCCATCCCAGGTTGTCGCCCCGCAAGTGTATTCCGCTGCTTTTCTGTTGTTTCCTTATCTATCTAAATTCAAGTCATTCATCGTCCGTTAATATAAATAGAAATAAACATTTCAATTACCTTTCGATCCGTTAATAGTGTAATAAATTACCTACCTATACTACTAGTAACCATTCGACTCGCCGCAAACGATTTAGTGATTGGTGTCTTAAAAAATACCAATTCGGGTCGCCTAATTTACTCGATCCCGAGGCGAGTGACTATTTCTTTTTCAGTCCGGATAAACTCCAATCGCAAAGACTCTTTTGGGAAATGTTAACAATATATTGCGGCAAGTCATTGCGATAGTTAAGAAAAAGATCCATAATCATTACCATCATAAAAAAACAAAGTGATAGTTTTGTGGGTCCAAATCAAAGACAACAAATGTCTTTTGATATCTATTCGATTAATTTTCATTATGTCAAGCACTATGGTTCCCAAAACCTCTCTGAGAGGGAAAGAGCAATGGTCAAACACTTTTTTTGTATTTCAAATTTCATAATCGAGTGTCCATGAAGAAATGTGTACTCTAATTACGCCTTATTCAATATTCATGTTAGGGATTGACTTTCCAGGTATCTAATACGTCTATGAACCATACAAACATTTGTCGCCGGTACTTACGGGTACGCACTGTAAGCGGTGCAATCTTCATCTGAAGCCATAACACAAACTTCTTCAGCACTTAATTCGTGTTGCGCACAAACACTCAATTAACGAGCAATAAATTGTCCCGTCCACGCGGATATCTATTCTATCCGCAAAATAATGTCCACTGAGTTACATATTGTTGCAATCGTCTTGCGCTGGAACTGACATAATTCGTGGAGACAAACGCACCACCCCCCTTCAAAGTTCAAAAGCCCCTATCGAACGACCGAATAGATATTATTTGCGTTTTTGAGAATCGCGCAATGTTTTGCGTTTAAAAGGTATTCTTCAAAGACCGCGAACAATAAACAACTGATGCGACGGAATATTATAAAGTCACAATCGCGGGCGTCAGTCGACGTCACAAAATGTGAAACGTAAAATGATCTTACCGGCTCACCTGCTTGCTAGGTACTGGCCGCCCTAGTAGGCAGTGCCGCCTCGGATTACCTGAAAGTGGTACCTGAACGACATGCGCGCGCATCAAAAGACCCGGCGTTTTGTGGATTTGTCACTAATGAGCTAACTTCTTTGATTTTGGTGCAAATACGATCATAATGAAAATTGTTTATGAAAACAAGTGAAACGTAGATACAGGGATATTAATAATGAGGTTTTAATACCAATACAGGCTTGAAATATATTTTTTTAAGTGACGAATGAGTGAACAATTAATCTTTTGAAATGTGTAAGAGAACTAGCAGAATAAATGAAACGCAAATACAAAATTATTCATTTTCTTATTAGATAAAGTCACATAGCTCAGGCGGCTTTGACATTTTCGCACATGATCTTCCAAGCATGCTCCTATATTTCACACATCAAGCTGCACTGTACCATTTTCTTTCTAAACAGTTAACTCGTTCTCTAACTTTAGTTCTTCCAAACTGAGAAAAACAAGTAGGTAGGTAGCTACAAGCGTAAATGCTTTCTCTATTACCCACTAATTCTAAGACTATAAGTTTCAATTTTTACGTTTCCTATTTTTTTGTTTCCGCACCTTTCATCCATTCAGCTTTGTGTATTTTTTTATCCGAGTTAAAGATGGAAATTCCACAGGAAATATTCACTTAAATTGCAAGGAATTAAATTTATATTTATGTCGTCGATAAAGAAACACATTCAAAAGAGCACGTCGATAACTTAGGGGTTGGATATTTATGTCCATCCTTCTTTTATTCTTTAAAAAAAATCCGCTCCGGGATCAACTGATTCAATTATCGAAACCTATCATAAAAAGGAAAATGCGGAACCCCAGAACAATTTAAATTCTTCGTTAATGTAGTCCGTCGAACAAGTAATGTTCTCAGAGCAATTGACTCAATAATAACCTCTGCTGTTATTAATATGGATAAGTATTTTTTTTTTCATACGTAATCCTATACGTTGCATCTTGGTTAGTTTGATCCACCATGTATAACTTTGATGATGCGAAATATATTTTTAAAGATTTCCCGCTTAATATAAATTATAAGGAAACATTTTTCTGACCAGAGCATATCATTTTTAAATTGTACTTATATTAAGACGCTACGAAAACTGTTGTCCTTATTCGGGTCCAAAGGCTGTCGTTTGATTTTATCACCTATAACACCATATCTTGGAAGCCTCGCGTTTCTTCACTAACGCCTCTGTCAATGTCCAGGATTCTACTCTGTAAAGGTTAATGGTAACCAGTAACTCTTAATGTTATTTTTGATTTTGGTGAATACTGACCTGGCTTTTTCTATCCTCTGACTGATTTCGACTGAATGATCCTACTTGTCATTAATATTCGTCCCAATTTAGATGTAGCTCGAGACCCGAGTTAGTGGATGTTGATTAAATGATAGTTTTGGTTAGATTGTGCGATAGTTGTTGATATGGTATATTGTTGATATTATTGTGATAAAGTTGCCTTCACATAGCTGAATTAGCTAGATATTTAAGTTTTCGGAAAAAAATATTATTGGCTTTTCACATACATCCAGAAAATTATAAAACTTTTTTGAAAACCTTCATGGATCTCACGTTAGATAAAATAACATATCTACGGGATTACAAGCGATTCTAGCAAATCGGCGGAACAATGGTACCATATTTTACACGAGGAAAGCTAAAATAGTTTCTCACAACAAATAACCGAAATCATGAAACCATGTTACAGACATTCCCACCAAACCCACCAGACTTAACAATGATTATGATTGATTAGTTAAAAAAAAAGCAAACCCCAAATTGTCATTTCGGTAATTTGTGGTTAAATCGCATTAATTACGTGTACCACTCGTTAAAATTATCCAAGCAGCCTTTTTCGTTAAATTCAAGAATAATATTTACAAATATTTTTCCACCATCTTTAGTAAGACAAAATATCAATGAAGATGGTGGAAAAAAGAATTAAGAGTAAGATATCATAATAATGATGTCAAATTGATCATAACGTCTGTTTTCGTAGAAGTCACAACGACTAAAATTCACACGATAGTGACTTCTGACGATATTAGGGGAATAAAGAGGAACTCAACTTCCTTATGAATCCTCGCCTTTTGGTTCAATATTCAATCGCCATTAAAAATAGGAGACTGACAAACAAAATATTTTTAAGGTATAGTTCGCCGAACGATATACCGTTTTTACTCCGGTATTTTTAAGAAGGTCTAACCGCAGATCTATCTAGCTTATGACGTTCCAGAACCGTACTTCGGATTTGTGTAGAGTTTCATCATTATTCCTTTAAAATATAAATGAAGGAGTAAATTTAGCTATAAAACAATGTTAGAATATTTATAAAAAAAAGTTATTCTAATAATCACTATCCTCACTTTACTGGTCCTCCACATTAATAATTAATTCTGGCCCTAGTCGACTTATCTAAACATTTTCTGGTTCGATGATTTGTTTAACACATTTTTTCCAACTAGATGCAAATATTGTTTATACTTCACTTCTAATTAATACTATTGGCCCAGAACTAAATTTTGGCGAAGTGTTGTTGCTTCTTAAACTGGATTTCAGCTGTCCCCTTATCAGGAAGACGGACAACTATCCCGTCTTAAGAACTTTTAATAATTGCTTCTTCGTGTAGGAATTTTCAAAATATCATTTTCAAGCAAAAAAATTTGAATGACTTCTTTAGTCGATGATAAATTCGGTATTTTTTCCGCTTGTGCAGACTGGTAGCTGGCGTTGTCCATCACGACAACACTGTTTGGTGGAATATTGGGAAGCAATTTTTCAAAAAACTATTTTTCAAAGATGTTTGCTGTCATGTTTGTAGGTTGGTAGTAGGTTTCTTGGATTTCTCTCAAATATCTTATCCTCAACTCCGAAATTCTTCTTAATTCCACCCAAACTTGTCTGTTATAGATGGTTTTGTAATAAAAACCAATTCTTCGTAGCAACGCACTCAAAGTCTCTTGGCAACAGTGAATGTTTAAGTTTTTAATTTTTAAAACAATATTACAAACACAAGACGGAATAGAAATAACAAAGCTTCGACGGCTAAGAAAATACTGTTTCATAAAACGAACAGCATTTCACCAACCCCCACAACTCAACCAATAGCAAACTGGGAAAACACCCATTATAAATCTACATAATATAAATTGGAAATCAGTTTAAGCTTTCTAATGTGTTTTTTAATGGGCCAATTCAACTTGAAATCGAGATACTTCAAGTAGGGACTATTTTAGGAAAATTTATAAAAAGCACAATAATATGAATTAATATAACAGTTTAATTAAAGAAAATTTCCCTACTCTTAAAATGCAACAGTCCACACGGCACAATTCTTATCGGGTAACATCTTCAGTACGGTTCTGGCTTGTGGTACACGCGCTGAAAAGAATGGCCCTTCCGCTCTACAACAGGCGGGTCTTAAACTCATTCCAAAATCAAAACCATAAAAGGTTGCAAAAACGGTATATCGTTCGACGAACTTTACGAACTAGATCTGTGACAATTACAAGTAATTTATGGAATGAAATACATTTTTTATCAATATACCTTAAAGTTCAAATATATATTTTTCTTTTTGAAGTTCTGTTTGGCGACTTTTTTTAAATTTATTTTTGGGCAACTTCAAATTAAGGTACTAAGTTGGATATTGAACAATTAGAAAAATAATTTTTTAGCTGCCTACCATTTTCGATGAGATTTCATAGTTTAGGTTATCTCTTGCACGGTTATTCCTAAAAGCATACATTTTGAAAAAAAATCTATAACTTTTCTATTTCCGAATATTCCTTATTTTTTTGTAATTAGTTTTCTAAAACTAGCATTAACTTGTTATTTTCTTATGAGATACGACATTTTGTTTTACTTATTTTTAATCTTTGAATTTTGAATATTGAAAGTTTTCCTGTCCATATAATAAGTATAATATACAATACATTTGATAAACTTTTTAAATCACTCGTCTATTATTATTAGCATTATTAGAACTCAATCTTGTTGCATAATATTATATTTCCACTACACACAATTTTTGATAGAATATATGCAAATCCATGTTAAAGGTGATCACAGCAACAAAATAATAAACAAATCCTTGTATGCTCCATTGATACATAAAACGATATTTTCAATTAGCACTTCCTGTCACATACAATTTTTTGGTATTACGTGTATTTTTCATAATTTAGTGTATTTAGAAGACGACTATCGATAATGGCACCTCTTTAAAAAATTATGCATTATCTAAAATTTCGTTTTTACGCACATTAGGAAACTTTGTTCCCTCCCTGAAACTGTATTGCGAGAAAAATAACAAGGTACACCCGGTAACAAAAAATTGTGTCGACCACAGTTATATCATTCAATTGTTCTCGAATTCACACATTCTGTTCCTCCATTGTTGCATACTTGTTTACGTTTATGAATTTTATGATTGACCTAATTTTTTTCGAATTGGTAAAGCGATACGCGAAGTACTACTTTAAATCCTTGTTCCGGTTTTTTGATTTTCTGCAGATTTTATCGGCCACCAGACCGCAAAATCGTTTGGAATGGATTTTTCGATTTGCATTTTATGTCGCTTTAAATGGAATTGCAAATGCTTTCTCTTTATAGTCCTTTTAATATTCACATAAAATAAGTTCATAAAACTGTTATATTATTCTGTTGCATTGATTTGTGCGGCCCTGGTTACGGCTACTGAGGAATTAAACACTTTATATTGTTATGTATTTGAATCGACTTGAATGGTTCAGGTTCGTCAAACGCAACGGTGAAATGAAACAAGTCACTCCTTAAACTTGACGCAATTTTAAATTTATTTCGTCTAAAAATAACAAAGTCACTAAATTTGTCACTAAATTTTTACACACTGCTATTCACTATACACATCTCTATTTATATCCATTGACTACGTATATTTCCGAGCATGTCACAATATTTTATGGTTACTTAG